CCGAACATTATTTTTGTCAAAAGTTCCCACTTTCTTCTTGGGAACAGAAATGTCTCTTTCACCCATTCCTCAAGTATGACACTCAAAATTTTGATAAGCCTGGCACCTGGAAGCTGTTTTTGACAGTTGTGACTTGTACTTGGTGATACATACAAGATTTTAGAGACATTAATCCATAAACATGATTATACTCTTTTTCTATCATTTACTGTCATTCAACTAGATAATTAGCTCCCCTTTTCAACGTTCAAATGCAGGCCAACCTTTTAAAGCCAAAATTAACCACAGTGTTAATTTTACAGTACCAAAAAGTTTATCTGATCATGCTAAAAATATATCACTTAGAATTAGGAATCCTTAATGTCTACCATAAGTGGATGCCTGATCAATTTATAAAGTAAAACTTTCTCTTTAATGATGTTCAAGTTGTAACATTGAAATTGCTATAGTGGTGCTATTTAAATTACAATCTGTTTGCAGGTGCTGCATCAAAACTTCCTGTTGGTAGATTTAGCTGTATGTTGAGTTAGGCATCTTCACTTTTCATTGTCTTACTTTATGGGAAATTAGACACAATATAAAAGGTAGAACCCTGTTAACTAACTTTCCCCTTAGTCTAATGCAGTTGTGCCTCCCTTTAAGCAAATTATTCTAAATGATTTATAGAACAAAACAGACCGTGATTTACTTTCTTTCCAAAAAGATCTGCTTATGGAATTTATTTAAATAACCAGACTTCTTTGGCCTATTTAAAATATTCAGATCAGAGAAATTCATTTCACACAGAACTTTTTTGTAATACCTAAATTGCATAAAATGAGGCACACAGGTACATTTGCTCATTCTGTTGAGATTGCCTCATTATTTTGTGGATATTTTATATTTTTTGATTTGTCATTTTTAACATTTCAGCATACCGCATTCATTCACTCCCTGTTCTAGTTGGAAAGGGTTAGCGTTTTTTAATCTCTTGTACCAAACAAGTCTGATTTGGGAATCTAGTGAGTGACTAAAACTTGAAACTCAGGTCCTGAGCTTACTTCCAGAACACACAGCCACCACCTGGTGAAGGCAATGTCCAAAAACACCCTGAAGGCCTCCACCTGTGCCAGGGAAAATCATGCAGGAGTCAGAATTCAAAAGAAAAAAGTGGCGGTAGATAACCCACACAACTGTCTGTCATTCCTTTATGTTCCGAAAGCAGGTTAGTTTGAAGTTTGAGAACTGTTTCCGTTCCTCTAGGTGAATCTGCCAAGAAATACCTCAGTGGAACCACTGGGGCTCGGCAAGGCCGGTGATTCTTGCTCTTTCTTGCCATGACTTTGACAGGGCGTTCCTACAGAACACCTGTCAGCATTTGTAGGCACACTGTGTGTTTGCCATAGAGTTGCTTTTCATTTCGCCATTTGAGATCTTACATTACAAAAGCCTTGAGGGTTAAGTCACTGACTGTGATTACCCGCAGTTGCACACTGGTGCAGCCCCATCCTGTAGAACTTCCTGTGGTTTTAGAGAACAATCCTCACCTCGCTCTCCACACTCTCCCTGGCTTTGAAATGAAGTAGTTCCTCACCAGCTAATTAACCTGGCCACCCTCCACATTGTCACACACATCATATTAACTGAACAACTGGCCCATGTCATAATCTGTTACAATTAGATTAAATTCCAGTATTTATTTAGAAGGCTTGGTAGAAGCTGAATTACTTACATGTGCCTTTTTTAGTTTTCTTCTTCATGTCATATTTTGACCATTTATCTTCTCCACCTGGCTGGCCTGCATGTTCCTTGTAGTGTAACTTCTACTCGGTGTTTGCGCTTTGCTTTGTTTTCAAATTTAAATTGTGAGATACATTCTCAAACCTATCTAAGAAATAGCCCTGATTTTGAAATGGCTTCTGTGGCATAGGTTTGACAGATGTAAGTCTTTGATTCTTTGGCTTTGGTTTTTTTGTGCCTGTTACAGTTTTATACACATTCATTAAGAGGGAGACATTACCATCAGTGTGTTGTTTATTTTTTCAAATTCCAGTATGTTTTTAAAGACCCACATTTCACTAAACAGTGTATTTGTTGAAATTGATGTGAGTGACTTTATGTTTCCACACTCGATACAGTGTCAGATGCTGTAGTTTGTCAGGGTTAGAACGGTTGGATTCAGGATGTTTAGCTGACTCATTGCAGAAAGTTATCCTGTAAGAACGTGAATCAGGACAGGGAAGACAGATTTACGTACCGTGCAGCTCAAAATGACAATTACATTGTCATTTTCATTGTGAATACTTTTAGGTTCTATATTGGCTGTGATCTTTGTACTAACTGGTATCATGGAGAATGTGTTGGCATCACAGAAAAGGAGGCTAAGAAAATGGATGTGTACATCTGTAATGATTGTAAACGGGCACAAGAGGGCAACAGTGAGGAATTGTACTGTATCTGCAGAACACCTTATGATGAGTCACAGTGAGTTCTGATAAGAGCATCATATTTAATAATTTAGGAAGCCAAATTGCTCTGACTGGTTATTTATTTATTTTAAAATAAAAAGCAAGATATTTCTCTGCATATATTATACACTTACATTACAAATTCCTTTTGAATTTTTTCTCTTCTTCCCTCTTTACCTCCCCTTCAAAATTTATGTTGCTTCATAGTGAATGTTTGAGATGCATTGGGGAAAATGTGGTTTAATGGTAGACTTGATTCTTCAATATGTAATATAGAAATTAATGAGATTAAAATAGCCTGACTTCTTTGGACTTTATCAGTGTTTTGAAATGGTGCTTTATTGCAGGTTAGAAAAACACTAATTTGGGTATAAGCTCTGAGATTCTGTTTAGCTTTTAGGATTTTGAGCTCCCAGTTGGGTGGCCAATATCAGCTTCCCATTTGATATGGTATTAGTTGAAAGATTTTTGTCTTTATTTAGTTTTGAGCTTTAAAGTCAATTAAACGTTTTACATTTTTCTTCATATTAGTTCTCCAGTTTTGACAGTGTTCTTAAACCTTTACTGCTTGTTCTTAACATCAGAAATACTAAATTAACACATTGGAATGTCAGTCTTCAAAAATATTAAAACAATTATAATACTAAAACTATTTTATATCTCAGGGTTAGAATATTTTCAGATGCATGTTTTTAATTTTTAAAGTAAATTGTAAGTAACGCGATCCCGTCTGTTTTGAACTCACATTTCCATTTCGGATCTTGCAGATTTTATATTGGCTGTGATCGGTGTCAGAACTGGTACCACGGGCGCTGCGTTGGCATCTTGCAAAGTGAGGCAGAGCTCATTGACGAGTATGTCTGTCCACAGTGCCAGTCCACAGAGGATGCCATGACAGTGCTCACGCCGCTCACGGAGAAAGATTATGAGGGTTTGAAGAGGGTGCTGCGTTCTCTGCAGGTGAGGAACCACTCTGTACACAGCTTTTAAAGCTCGGCATTTAAATTCTTGGTTTGAACTTCCCAGTCTTAGAGTACCTGGTTATTTACTGACTGCCAGCTACTCCAGTGAAGTGCTCCGCATACTTCAGTCCTTCACGTGCCGATGTCACAAGGTTTACCACACGCTAGCTCAACTGTTGTGTATCTAATACTCACATTTAAAACGGCTCATTTTTTTAACCTAAATTTAATTTTTAAAGAAAACTTTCTCTCCACCATAGATTGAAAAGCGGTTTGATCAAATTCTAGTGAGATACAAATGCTTATCTAAGGCTTTGACCCAAAACCTTCTCTCCCTTATTAAAAAACGAAAGGAGATGGGGATGGCTTACAAAATTAGCAAGTGTTAGAGGTGTATTCAAGATATGCGTGCTCTACTGATGGCACTTTCTCCTGTTGGAATCATAATCAGCAGAACAGAAAACTGAAAAGGGAGCAGTCGTCTCAATGTGTGCTTGAGTGTTATTTAACATCACATCTCTGCCACGTCATTAGCCTGCAGGGGTATCCATTCCACACTAGGCACCCATCCCACCCCCGTTTAATAGGTGTGATAGCATTGCCAGCACACCCAGGTCGTCATGTGGGACCAGAGCGCAGACTTCTTAACTCCTAAGCTGGCACTCCACCATCCCTACTCCATGCCGAGGCCCCAGACCACTCTTTGAGAACTGTTACTATGGAGTGTGCTCATCTGAGATAATCTGCGACTAGAGCAAAATCATCTAAGAATAAATAATTTCATCTCTCAAGTTTAAAGCTGACTTTTCAAGTTTAAGGGTTGATTGATGCAGTAATTCCAATGGGAAACTTGAGTGGAATTATTATTTCGACCTGACAATAGCGATGCCTTTTTTCTTTTCATTACAGGCCCATAAAATGGCCTGGCCTTTCCTTGAACCAGTGGATCCTAATGATGCACCAGATTATTACGGTGTGATTAAGGAGCCTATGGGTAAGTGCTTGAGTTGAGTATGGAGTTTTTTCAGAAGTCTCAGCAGATACTTCACTTATCATCCATACAATTGATATATCCTGAGGTCATGTTGATCAAGACTGGTGGGAGCATAAACTGGTATGCACTTATAGGATAAAATGTGAGTACGTATTAAAGTTCAAATGTGCATACATTTGGACCCAGCAATTTCATTTCTTAGTATTTAACATGTGCACAAGCATGTTGTTCATCACAGCAGTGTTCATCATTACAAAAATGCTGAAAATGAAACAAATAGCCATCAGTCGAGGAGTAGCTAAATCAAAGTGGTATTACAGAGCTATGTAATGAATGAAGCCAGTGAATGGGTTGAGGTCATTTTGAGCCTCCCATTTTCCCTGTCACCTCTTTCTCATCCTTTCGTGAAGGAGAACAAAGGTAGAGCTCCAAGAGAATGCAGCCTTAAGCCCAGGGAAAAAACAGTTATAAATAACAACTACAGGTTGTATTAAGATAAATACCTGCAGCTGCTTATATTAAAAATAGTTTATCTGCAAAAGAAATTATAAAAGTCAAAGCACAGTAAAGGTGCCCCAAAATGCCAAAAGACAGGCTCTAGCTGATGGAAATACTCCAGGGAGAGGCCGACTACGCATTTTTTCAGTGGGAATGGTTTTAGGGGATATTTGAAAGTTGCTAGGAGAGTGGACCTTAAAAGTTCTCATCATCAGGGAAAAGAAGTTTGTAACTGTGGTGATGGATGTTAAATACACTTACTGTGGTGGTCATTTCTCAGCATATACATAGATCAGATCTATGTGTTATGCACATAAAAGTAATACATCTCAAAACATAAAATTTTTTAAAGGAACTAAAGTTCAACGAGGATTTTTTTTTTTCTTTAAAAAAGGAAAGAAAAGAGTTGTGTTTGACAGCAACTTCAAAGATGGGGAACCATGAAGAAGAGATAAATGAGGGCTTATCTTTGGGGAAAAGCATTAATAAATAAGTAGTTGTTACTTGTATTCTCCTGATGTTGAAGATGGAAGAAATTAATCATTGTACGTATTTCAGATGTGAATAATCTTTGAGAAAGTACCTGGGGTGTTTATTTAAATAAATAGATAAATCCTGCTTCTAAAAATAAAATAAAATATAGAAAACTTAGGAAATAGGAAAAAAATAAAATACACTTTGGATCTGAATGCTATCACATTTTGGTGTGTTCTTGTTGGTGTGTTCTTGTGTGTGTGTGTGTGAGAAAATTGAGGTCATATAATAAATGTGTCTAACAGTCATCTTCCTGTGTCATTCATTAATTTTCAATAACATTTTTTAATGGTTTTATATAGTCTGTAAATTGAATATGCCTTAACTTATTTAACCAAAATTCTTTTCTTGAAGAGCTGGAATGTTTTCCTCTCTTTTTCTTTTCCTTCTTATTACCACCAAGATAAACATCATCTTATGTAGTTATGTGCATAAAGGTAATTCGGGTCTCCCAAACATTTTTAGAGATGCACAGAAAATGTCTGGAAAGGTCTAGACTAAATTGAACATAGTCATTTCTTGTAGGTGTGTGAGGAGCCAGCAAGATCAGCGGCTTTTATTTTCTTAAACAGAAACAGGGTTATAGGGAATATCGTGTTTTAAAACATACTTTGTAAGCTTGTTAGTACCTTTTTCACATCAGCTGGGGTGTTAGAGCGTTTTTAATTATATGAAATTAAGATAGTGAATCACTCCCTATGATAGATTTTTCAGTTGTGTGCAGTTTTTGCTACTTTATATAAATGCCACTTCTGTGAACATCTTTGCGCATCTGCTTTCTACGATTACAATTTCTGTGTCAAACAGTGTATATACTTTTTAGGCTTTTGATAAATATTTTCAGATTGCACTTCAGCGTACTGAACCAGTTTCCACTGATAATGTTTATCTGTGCCGTCTCTCTGCATGCTTGAAAACACTTTGAGCATTATCACAGTTTTGAGGGGAAAATTTTTGCTTTGCAAATATTTATTTCAAAGTAATGTGTTTGCTGTGCAAATGCAGGTGTCACAGAGAGGTAGAGAGTAAAATGTAAAATTTCCTGCCACTCTCAAGTTCTCCCTTAGAGGTGACCTCTGTTAACAGGCTGATGTTACCATTTTTAATTTCTGCTAATTTGGACAAAGGAAATGACTCTTGGGCTGTGCGTATCTCAGTAACTAGTGACGTGCTGACTGAACTTTTTTTTACATGCCTTTCCTTTTTATGTATTTTGCCATTTTGCTCATTGTCAATGTTATTTAAGAGTTATTTATATACTAGGGATGTTTAAAAGTTCTATGGTAGCTTTTTGTCATATGATAGTTTTTTTAACTTTTTTTTTTTTTTTTTGAGGGGGGAGGTAATTACATTTATTTATTTATTTATCCTCAGAGGAGGTCCTGGGGATTGAACCCAGGACCTCATGCATGCTAAGTAAGCATGTGCTCTAGCGCTTGAGCTATACCCTCCCCCCACATTTTTTAGTTCAAATCTATTAATTATTATGAATTCTACCTTCAAAGTCATGCTTCTAGTCTTTTTCTCTACTCCAGATATATAAATATTCAGCTATATATTCTACAAGTACTTTATTTTTTTTAAAGGTTACCTAGTTAAGTTGGAATCATAAAATGTCCAAGCACCACTCACATACTTTGATACAATTAGTCAATCAGTAAGTACCTAGAACTTCAGTAGGAAAATGGTGATATCCTGGGGTGATGTGTTAAGCAGTCCTTTTCCTGTACAGCCTACGTAACCCGCACAGGATGGATGTGCCCAGGGTTTTGTTTGGAATTTAATCAGGCGGGGTGCATTTTTGCAGTGTTCTTGTTTACACATTTTTCCCCCATCTACATAAAGTGAAACTATCAAAGACGAATGTGTTAAATATATGTGTGTGTGTGTGTGTGTGTGTATGTCATAAAATTGGCCATTTTCACTTTTATATGCATAATTCAGTGATGAATTACATTTATTTCGGCCTTTAAATTTTTATCCACCAGGGTGACTTTGGCATATAGTGTGAAGTAGAATTTTTCTTCAAATACAGGTTGCCCCATGGTTGCCACATGCCAGCTTATTAATGAATTGTTCCTTTCTCTGCTTATTTCAAATGACATCCTCAACATACGTGAAATTCTTATGCTGAATACAGTTAGACCTGTTCCTGTGTTAAGTTCAGTTCCACTGATGTTTGTGTCCTCCATGCTTTTCATTATCATGGCTTTATAATGTTTTTTCATGTCTCCTTGATTAAATTTTCTCTTATTAGTTTTATTTTTCAAGTGTTTTCTTAGATAATCTTAAACTTTTATTTTTTGACTGAACTTTCAAATCATTTTCTCAAGTTCTAAAATAATCATTGAGATTTAGTTTGGAATTGTATTATCTGTCAATCTGTCAGTCCTAGAGTGATTTGGGATCATTGGCCTTTTACTCTCCTGGATTTTTGTGTCCTGTTGGATATGGAATTTTCCTTCAAACATAACAGGACCTAATGTTATTTCAGGTAGATTTAGGTCAGTATATTCCAAAATAGTTACCTGTGTACCACCCTAATAATTTTTGTCATTTCTCCATCCTATCTCTGCTATTACATACTAGCATCTTTATTCATATCAGCTAATATTGTTCCCTTAAGTTTTAAGTAGACACTTTATATCATTACCAACATAATCTGTAAGTCAATATCACTCATCGCCAATATAACAATAAAAATTTTTTTTAAAAATTGTTATTAAAGTCTAATACAAGGGTCACAAAATCAGAGATTTTATTCTTTTTTTAAATTTTATTTTTTGACAGTTTTTTTGGGGGGTAATTAGGTTTATTGATTTTTATTTTAGTTTTTTGGGTTTTTGTTTTTTGTTGGGGGGGGTAATTAGGTTTATTTACTTATCTATTTCTCTTTAGAGGAGGCACTGGGAATTGAACCCAGGACCTCATGCATACAAAGCACACATTCTACCACTGAACTATACCTTCATTTTGTTCTTAATTCTGGATTCCTCCTTTTTGTATATGTAATATACTTAATTAATTGTTTGCATGTGAAAATATGTATACTTAGATATGTATTGATCATGTTGGCACAGTGTTTCCTTTATCTCAAACCAAAAGAGCTGTTCTCTCTAGTTAACCGAACATAAAGACCTTTCTTAACAGTAACCAAGATTTATATTTTGGACCCCGAATCAAAAACAAGATTGGAAAAGTGCTCCTCTTTTCTTCGTGAATTGCTGAGTAGTCTTCGCTGGTAAACTGGTTGGTTCCAGGACTGCTTGGGCAGGATACGTGTTTTCTTGCTTGTCAGAACTGCGGGCAGTATTCACATTGGAACAACCTTAAAGCTTTGAAAATCTTTTACATTTTGTGTTTTTAAGACCTTGCCACCATGGAAGAAAGAGTACAAAGAAGATATTATGAAAAGCTGACGGAATTTGTAGCAGATATGACCAAAATTTTTGATAATTGTCGTTACTACAATCCAAGTGACTCCCCTTTTTACCAGTGTGCAGAAGTTCTTGAATCATTCTTTGTGCAGAAATTGAAAGGATTCAAGGCTAGCAGGTAAGCAGATGTGTTGAGTGCGCTGAATTAATGCAGCTCTTCAGATTCTATACTGTCCTAACAGCCAATGCAGTTTATGGTAAACCTGCAAATAAAGAATCTTAAAAAAAAAAATTTAAGACTCTAGCATTATGATATACTGTCAAGGACAAGTGGACAGACTCAGTCATGAGGAATTGCTGAGTTTGTTTTTATGATCTGCTTAAAATTTGAATCATTTTTTAAAATACAAACAACATACGAATGTAAGATACTGTCTTAAATGCCACAGGGCCCTTACAAAGGTAACAGTAAGAGTTCTTGCTCTCACTGAGTTTACAGAAGTACAAAAAACGACTATTCTGTAGGGGAGAGTAAGGGGGAGACCACGGAGGAGGACATGTAAGCACTTTCTCTTTCATTTGAGCTTGCTGTATCTTTGAAATCATAAAGTGTTTTATTTTCCTGGATATTTTTTCTGTAGGCAAAACTGGACTTTAATCTAAGTCCACAGACCTTTTCTTTGAACCTGTAGTAACATGAAGGCACCGAGCACCTTTGCATGGTATTCGGGTACTGTGATCTTCACGCCTTCTGTTTCTGAACACCCCCTTCTTCCCCCTCCTTCCCAAGCCGGTGACTTTCTTCCTTTCAACAGAGGCCTGTTTTCCTTTCTTTTGAGAGCTGCCACCGCTCTGTAGCCCCAGGATTCATTGCTCACCAGCCCCCAGCCCCCAGCGCTCAAGCTTGATCCTCCCTAGGTAGTCAGAGGGTGGGTCTCGCCCGGGATGGGGGGCCTGGGCATCTTTATTATCTGATGAACTCCGAAGGGACTGTGCATACCAAAATGTAAGAATCAGTGCTGTACCTCGTAATTTTTAGGAAAAACCCTTAAGGTGTTTTGTTTCTCTCCTTCTCCTATAGCAAGGTAGATCAAGGACTGTATTTTAGAGTCCGTTACATAAACTGCAAGTGAAAGACAAGCCCAACTGAAGTATCCTGTCTCCTTCTCAGCAAAGGAATCAAAAACTATAGGGAGGGAAGGAAGGCAGGCAGGCAGGCAGGCAGGCAATATAGACCAGTAGACTTCACAAATCTCTAAAGCTTTCCTATTTTTATCATTACCTGTTAACCCATTAGCTGTGAAACTTAAAATATAAGAGGACTGACAATATGACAGAGTCCACAGGAAGCTAATAATAAAGGAATAAAAAGGGATAAACTCAGAGTAGTGAAAAGAATATGGTAGAAGTTAGTTAGCTGAGGAGATTTCAGCAGATTCTGGAATGCACAGCGCAGATGCAGGAGGGCCGGCTGTTGGAGGCAGGTGGGCTGCAGCCAGACCCCTCCCGGAGGGCTCCTCAGCAGAGGTGGCAGCCTTCCCACCCACAGGACCCCAGACGGCCTCCAACACAGAGGTTCTAGAGCAGAGTAGAAAGCCAGAGAGTAAGAGAAGAGAGGAATCAACTGAATCTCTGTATGCGGGCCAGGCACCCTCCCTGACCCCTGTGTACACATCTGCGTAGGAAGCCCAAAGAACCGGAGGGACACAGGGTTCTTCTCCAAAGAGAGAGAGTAAACTGTCTGCAGAGAACTAGGGTCGACAGAAGAGAATTGGACCCAGAGAAAATCCCCTGCTCTCTGAAGGATCGGCTCCCTCTTTCTAACATTGTGGCTCAACATGATAATTCACCCACCTCCACCCCAGAAGGAATATTTAGCAACCTGGCGACATTTCTGTTTGGCACACTTGGAGGTGGAAAGTGGTACTGGCATCTCAAAGGCAGAGGCCAGAGATGCTGCTAAACATCCTACAGGGCACAGGACAGCCCCCCACAACAAAGAATTATCCAGCTCCAAAGTGTCAGTGGTGTTGAGATTGAGAAACTCTGGTCTAAAGCAAAGCCTGCCAGTCAGTAAGCTGTACACACGGGCACAGGGCCCTCCAGGCACCTGCCCGGGCTGTTAACTTACTCTTCTTAGGTGGGAACGGACAGCCAGGAACGGCCAGATACTGAAGGAAGGCCTTCAGTGTGAAAGAGAAAGGTCAGTGTAACGAAAAATAGACGCCAGAGAGAACAAAAGAGAACTTTAAAAGCAAGCCTCCAAATCATGTCCCGAAAGAAAATTTAGAAGATATTGCAACTTCAAAATGGTGAACAGGATATTAGGAATAAAGAACAATCTGAGAAAAAGAGTAACTGGAAAAAATTTAAACTTACTGCAAGCATTGAAAGTTCAAATCAATGAACTCTCTCAATGTAAAGAACAAAAAGACAAGGAGATGAAAAATACAAGAAAAAAATGTTACAGAGTACCCAGTATTCACTTAATGGAAATTCCAGAAAGAGAAGACAGACAGAGGAGAGGAAACTATGAAAAGACCACTAATATAAGAAAAATTGCCAGAGCCACCCGGCTGAGAGGCCCAAGAACAAATCCAAGCAGAACAAGTCATTCACTCAACAAATGGTTCTTGAGCCCCTGCTGTGTGTCAGATATTGAATGTAGCAGTGGCTAAAACAAAGTTCCGGCTCTCTGTGGGGCTTACATTCTTGTGGGAGAGGAAGACCGAGCCAGGGCGGGGCCGGGGAACCATGAGGACAGTTGATAAACAAACATACAGGCCAGCTGGGCAAATGGGAAGGGTCCACCCCACAGACACAGGAGTGTAAAATTTCCAGATGCCAAGGACAAAAAGCTCTTCTGAAAGCTTCTGGAGAGGATAAAGCAACCTATAAAGTAACAGGAATTAGACTGGTATCAGCTTTTCTCTAAGAACACAGAATGCTAGAAGATTATAGTGGAATAAATCCAAAAGTTTGAGGAAAAATGACTTTCAGCCTAGAAGTCTGTCCAGGCAAACAACCAATTGTAGAGGCAGAATAAATACATTTTCAAGTCACACAAGGACTCAGAAAGGGCCTCCTTCCTGTGCATCCTTCCTTTTTAGCAAGTTATTTTAAGACGTGCACTAGCAAAATAAAGAAGCAAATTAAGAAAACAGAAGACCTCGGATTTCAGGAGAGCAATGGGAGTTACTCTGACGCAGGGTGACAGTTGTACGGCAGGCCTGTGCAGCAGGTAGTCCAAGTTGGAGCAGGGAAACGGAGCCCTCCCAGGAGGGATGTGACTGGAGGGAAAAAAATTAGATAATTTAAGAATGTAAGGGGGGAAATGAAAGGCAATTAGAAACTCCATGAAAAGCAAAAAGTTGTGTAGGTCACTAAGAATGCCCTCTTAGGTAAAGAGTAGGTGCTACAGAGAAAAGTACTTACCTAGTCATAATAATGTTAACAGTACGTTGATTTTCGACTTTCAGAATCAGTCTGTAGACAAAGCCTGGGAAGGCTGCATTTTAACTTTAGTTTAATTTTAAATTGTAGAGAAATAAAACTTGGACTCAAGAAGGGAGGAGGGAAATGGTTACATGAGCTCATTTCTCATTTGCCATAACAGGATTTAAACAATATAAAATATAAGATAGCAGTGTATGAAATCTATCAAAGAACTGGAAGTTCAAAGTGATTGATGCTGGAGAGCTCGGTCTTGAGGTTGGGCAAGACAAGACGGGGCCGCAGCTTACCATAAACCCTCCGTGCTTTTGATTCGTACCTCATGTAGTTATTACTCTGATTCAATTTCTCAGAGTGCTTTTTTTAATTGGAAAGGCTTTAGCATTTGAAGGTAACTGTGAGGTGGCAGCTGAGGGGTTTGAATCCCACCCTGCTGAGGGGCTCACAGGCAGAACCCCGGGTGGGAGTGGCAGCAGCCGCTGCCGAGGGGAGTTCTGCACAGTAAAGGGGCCACTTAGGAGAGCTTGCCACCTGGTTACTTTATGTAGCTTCTTATTATATTCTAGTTTATATAATTTTTAAATTTTACTTATTTATTTGTTTGTCTGATAGCAGTACTAGGAATTGAACCCAGGACCTCGTGCATGCTACGCAGGCGCTCCACCACTGAGCTATACCTTCCCCCCTATATAATTTTTTATTAAAGAGCACAGGAGCCAGTTGACAAGTATACTCACATCTGCTTAAGTAAATAAAATGTGAAGAGATGTTAGGGAATTTTTGTTGATTTCTAGATTTAGGGGGGAATGAAACATACATGTAGCCAGTCATTGAAATTTATTTATGGATTTCCAGTATTTGCCGTATATTCTCTCCATTTTAAATTTATGCTCTCTGGCATTATTTTCATAACTGCTCTTTGTTATAATTCACCATTTATGCCATCCGTGTTCTTTCTTTTCTTACAGATTGTGATATCTTTAGTCTGAATTTTTAACTGGAATCAGAACTGGATGTTGGGGTCACTCTGTCTCTTATTGTACCACGTGATTACCTAATTCATAATTGCCCCCCAAAGTTCAGATTAGCTAATACAATTTTTTAATGTTTTTTTAAAAAGATGTATAGTAGTAAACAATTTATTCTAGCAGCCATGTTGAACAATGTATTTAAGAATTGTAAACTCCTGGAATACTGTATTTATATACACTTACTGCAACAGAACATGCTTGATAACTGTACAGTAATTTTGTTTTACTAACGAAAGTTGTGAATAAAACTGTGAAACTAGAAAGGAGACTTTCTGGACTTTGATAGAAACATGTGATTTTTAATACTGCTTTTTCTCAACATTTTTTCTTTCATCTTCCCCAGCTCAATGTGAATAAGTGTGCACACACACACACACACTCATGCACGCATACACACTCATGCACACACACTTTTTACCTCAGTGGTAATGTTTCTGTAAATGTCTCTATTTGTCCCTGTGTCTAAAAATGTTGTATTTGACAAACACACATAAATATATATATATTTATACCTTTTTTAATATTGGCTTTTTCCAGTGAATTGTCATGTTTAGTGTACAGTGAGAAATTTTAGTATTATAGGTTAAAAATTTCTTACTTGTTCTCATATATTGCTTGCCAAGGGTGAATGAAAGTACATGGCTGCTTCCCTCAGACAGACTGACCTTGGCGTCCACATAAAGCATCATGTTTTCAAAAATGAAGGGTGCTTAATTGTTCCCTTTTTTCTGTATTCTGTAGGTCTCATAACAACAAACTGCAGTCTACAGCTTCTTAAAGTTCACCGTGTTAACCTAACATAAAACACAGCAAGAATCTGGTTGTCTGAACTATTTTAAATTAAGGAGCCAGATGTTTTTAGTCAGGTTATCCTGACAAGACTTGACCTAAACTTCGTTTTTATTGGTCATAACAGTCCAATTATATTCTTGGCCAATTTTGTCCAACGGACAAAGGAAAAGCAAAGTCAACGACACCATTATCTTGTCAAGATCAAATGGTTTTACTCTTGTGGCAGAAGCGGGAAAACTTTGTTTATTGAAAAAAAAAGAAAAAAGAAAGCAAGAAAAAAAGATAATATGGGGTCAAGTGTAACTCCATGGAAATGCCACGTCTGCTCTTCAGTGAAGAAGCTGGTTTAGAGTCTCACAGAAAACTTTTGACTGTATTTATTTATTGTTGCAAAAAAGACGCTTTTTTATTGCTGCCCTCATTTGTCAGCTAATTATTTTTTCTTATAAAATCCAGCCCCGGTTACATGTAATCCATTCTGTATCTTATCATGATTCCTGTAGGTAAAAGTACAAGACGACCTCTAGATGTCTTTTCTTTCTATGAAAGGAGCTGCTATGTACACATGTGCACAAACACACAACTGGGAATCAACGAGTTTATTGTTCATGGTAGATAAAAATTACGCTTGCATAAAGGTTGGGCAAAGTGGTCCTGGACTACAGACTCTGTTGCCTTGAATAGAACAGTCCAATTTGTCATTTCCTCTGCACCAGGCTAAAATGAGTAAAATCTATTTGAAGGTATCTTGTTTGTAAACATTTGTCAGATTCTAATTTTTTTCTTTTTGTATTAAAATTCAACTATGGATGTATATGAAACAAAATAAATGGAGACAATTTTTCTCCCACAGACGGTGTCTTTGAATGTGCACTAATGATTACCTGTAAGCCTTTGAGGGGAAAGGGAGGGCTGCAAGGTAAATCAAAGGCAGAAGGATCTGACTGTACCTGGATTTCTGCAGGGTAGGAGTGGTCCTTCATTTTCTAGTTCCCAGCCCACTGTCATCACGTCGAAGAAAAATCTTCAGGGGTGCTAATCCTGTTGCATCGATCGGTCGGACTAATAAAAAAGGAAGTGTGACAAAATACGCATTGCCTTCCTCTGTGCATTATATGACACCAGGCAAGTTACCAGCTACAGACCGCTACTTATATTTTATGAAGGATTTTTTTTTTTAGATGACTTCATCCTTTTTGTATTTTGTTTGTTGGTTGAGTTGTTTTGGGGTTTTTTCCACATAAGAAAAAGTAGTGTAAGTAGTAGGGGGGGAAATGGAAACAGCAGAGGAAGGTGTGTTCTGCCTGTTTTTTCTTTCAGTGTCCTAACCTCACACATTGTATTTCTACCTTGTAATAATAGCGTCTGTAAGATCTGCCATAGTTGGTTTACGCAGCTTTGCAAAAATTTTACTAGATTTTGCACTAATTCGTATTAGCTTTGTCCTACCAAGTTCTGGAATTTATCTAATTACTGTTTTTTAAAAGTTTCCTTCTGTTTAATACTGCCCTGCTATGCAAAACCTTGCCCGGATCTTAGTTTCTTAAAAGAAAGACATTGCTACCGTTCCTGATTCTTTCTTACTACAGGCTCAGGTGTACCAGTTATTCCGGGTTAATTTTATCTAATGAAGCCCATTCCTTTTTGTACATAAAAATGTCACTTAAACCTGTGCTTACAAACAAAAGAGACTAATTGCTCAATATTGAAACCATGGAAACAAAGTTTTTGCCTAAAATATTAACATTGGAAGTAGTCAAATGTAGGTTATTTTGTCCTTTTACTTTTTAAAAAATGTTACATGTTGTATGCACTGTGCTGATGCAAGAATCCTACATTTTAATGAATTATAAAATTATTCTGCATCTCATCAAGTCACAGTATTTCTGTACTATTTATTCATATATATACAGATACAGATATATATATGGGCTTAACCATTTACAACTTGTTGCGGCAAGAACTTTCCTACCTGTAGGCAATAGATTGCTATGTTTTTAACAGATTGTGGCAAATTCTAAACAGCAATTCTTTTTGTACGTAATAGGACATTTCATCCTAGAAAAATAAAGTAATGTTTTTGACATTGGATTTGGTGCAGTTTCTAAAGAAACAATGGTTGGTTGGTTAATATATTTTCTGTAAATGTTGGCACTGCCAAAGTGTATAAAAAAGGGTAAATTTTATGGGACTCCTCAGACTGGGAACATGTTAATTTCGTATGTGTATTTAGTATTATAAAGCCTTTTGCAAAGTCTATCACCATATAAATACACAGGCATTTTACAGTTTTATCAAGTACAGAGCTTTAGTCTTTCAAAAGTAATTCTTGGAAAAACATGCATTCTTATAACATATTATGAGTTTCAAAAGTTGCTTTTCTATGAATATTTGACAAGCTTCTGCTACTCAGATGGGATACATATATTACAGCTATTTTGCCTTCAATATTCCAAGTAGTAGAATGCACATTTGTTATACTGTTGGGATTCAGATTCTACCCAGTCTTTGGGCTTGTAAATATACTTCATTTGCATCAATAGATTTCCTCTGCTGAAAGTATTTTCAATGCCTTTTATTTTTCATCTGCCAAGTTCACAATCCTTGAAACCATTTCATAAAAAGTATTTTCATGGTCAGGCTTTTTTCACCTACCCAAATTCTGCAGGATTTCTATTTCAACTAATGCCCTGCAGTAGTTTAAAAAATATATATATGAACTTTCAGAGATATTTTCTAAAGTAAAACAATTACCTTTTTATATTTCAAGTGGCCTGGAGTGTTATTAAGAGACACTGAGATTTGCTGTTGTTTATGTAATCTGCCTTCCTGGAATGTTTGAATAAAAGTTCTTTCCCTATTTCTCTTCATTTGCTAGGCAACTGCCCTGCATCTTTTGTGTGTTTCTGATATTAAACAGCCAGCCTGATGACCTTGTAAATCTGCACACACAGCCTCATGACGGAGGCTATTACCCATAAGTCTCATATTTGTTGTCCTTAGAATGAGAATGGTGGTCTCTCAAGGGCAAATAAGTGCTACTTTTTTTGTGATAAAGTCCTGTACCTGAAATTGAAGTTACACATTGTAGGTAGTGGGTCAGTTTTTAGGTGTTTGCATATACAAGTGTTTGATCAACTTAAAAAAATGATTTTAAGAGAAATATAAACTAACAGTATCAAATGATATCTTTAATTAAAAGACAGTAAAAAGCTAGTCGTCCCCCCGCCACCGCCAAAAAAAAAGGCATATGTTTTATAGACCTTTCCCTACCAAAAGAAAAACGTTTTTCTGCTTGAGTTCTAACAGCTTGTCGAAGGAGGAACATGCTGAGTTACTCTTGGCAACAGAATATTTTATTGATGAGGGACTTGTGCACCTAATCCTTCAGTTTTCAGAACACAAACCCATGTGCTAAGGAAAATCTATCAATAGGACAAAAGGACTAGGAACTACAGTGAATTTGTGAATTAAAATGTTCCATAAAATTCAAAGGTTGTATCCAAGGTACTGACTGAATATTGAGATTCTTTTAAACGTTTTTGCCTAACCTGGAATTCCCAGTCTCGTTCACTGCCTCCCGAGTACACCCCCCAGACGCACAGCTGGTCTACCTCATTTGCACCTCACTTATCTTTCATTGCAAACCTGGGCTTCAGTGATGGCCTTAATTTTAATGAGGCAGTTTCTAAAAAGCTGGCCTGCCTGTGTTTGCCAAGGTATACATGGGTCTTCAATGGCCACACAGAAGAACTGAATATGTACAGGATGTCAGGACAGGACAGAGGCTTCACAGCGTAAGACCCTGTGTGCTATTACAGACTAAAAACACATCTTGAGCTCCCGAATGCATCTCCTCTGAGACCAAATGGGCTGTTTTTCTCTCTTCAGTGCGGTTCCTTTTTATCCTTTCTTGAGGTAGTTAATATTCAATCATGGATGATCAGTGTCTGTTCACAGTGTTTCAAATTTAACTGCAGCACAGCCTGGTCTTCTGAAAAAAAAATTGTTAATGTCTTTATAGACTCAGGTATAAAATTAATCTTAAATTCAGTTAGCGATGAAATCTTTTTCAAGCCAACCGGAAAACATTTAAAATTCACATGTTTGCAAGCCGTCATTAAATATTGGTTCCAGGGATTTTGGAGTAAGTTTGAGAAATGCTTTTTCCCAAACCTTTTGGGGCTCAGTGAGGCTAAAAAGCAAAAAAAAACAAAACAAAAAAGAACCACAAAACCCAAAAAACCAGCTGCATCCAAGATCTGATTTCAAGGCAAGATTTACTGCTTTATAAACACAAACATGATACTTGGTCTTAATAGAAAAATGACATCAGATATACCCAGAATATGTTTGGCATCGGGATAGCTGCCAGTATGGCACAAACATGATTTTAGAAGCAGGAGGTGTGGTGTGAAAAACTGTATCTTCTATCTTCGTACATCAGGAACACTTGTTAGAACAAACACTTGTTTGCTTGAATTAAGCCCTTCAGTACTCTTTTAAGTGTAAAACTTCTAATACTTGTCTTGGGCTCTGACTTTAGTGTTCGATCTAAATGTGATCTAAATGACATTTCATATGTCTGACTAGTGCACTTAACTGTTATGTACAGAATTTTAAATGTGATGGTTTTAGTATAAAATTTGGTTTGACTCAAGATATAAACTATTCAAAACTGTATATTTAAAATCAAGGAAGTGTTTTTGTGAACTATTTCTACGGAAGAATGTATTTAAATTAAAATAATTAAAAATAAACAACATGAAGCAGTGATCTGTTAACTGGACAGGTCAGTTATCTGAGCTCTGTGACTGACCGGCACTACAGCTGAATAACTTTGCCCCGGAGCTTAGAAGCATACCATTTAAGAAGCATTTTGTGAATCAGAAAGTGACAACTTCAAGATCAGAGTCTGAACTCTGCAACTAGTTCTTAAAGGAGCTATGTGCCCTAAGCTAAAGGAAAATCCCATTACATGAGGATAAACCTCCTGCCTTATCGCTGAATTCCAAGTCTCATGATCCAGAAATGCCAGGCTGGTTTTTTTTTTTTTAAATGGAAGTACTGGGGATTGAACCCAGGACCTCATGCATGCTAAGTTCATGCTCTACCACTGAGCTACACCCCACCGCACTAGGCTGGGATGTTTCAAATGCACTGGGTGTGAATTGCCCCTTGCACTTGCCCATCCCTTTTTCGGTTAAATCTTTTCACATAGCTGCTGCTGCTCCTGAGCAGTCCATCTCCTGGTCGGAGGCGCCCTCTCAGGACCTGAAGCAGAGCTGTAGGTAGCTGCCTTCTCTTATGGTAGATGTGGCCCATCACAATATACCTGCTGCCTGAAAAAAAAAAAAAAGTCAAATTATAAATTCATAGCATCATTTAAATTCCATGAAACTCTAAGAAAATATAAGGCCTTTAAGAAATGCCTAAGCTTGAGTCTATTATCTTGCTGCACCTGTTGAATCTCAGACATTTAACCCTCAGGCAACAGGTGGAAACAGCCTAGTGACTGTTATAAAACAGATTATTCAGCCTGCAGATAGCCAACACTACGAAACAAAGGTCCTAAACACAATGAAACAGTGGGATTTTACAGAGAACATATCTAGAAAGTGGGTTGGGCATTACCCTGTACAAACACACACACACACTCTCACGCCCACCCCCCACCCCCAACACTTAAAAACTCAGTCTAAACAGCTCCTTAGGCATCCCTTCTGGAAACGGTATTCCGTCATTCACTCCATTTGTCAACAAATATTTTACTGAGTGCCTGCTTTATTACTATCCGTGGTGTTTCCATCTTTAACAGCCCGAGGCGGGGGGTCGCTGATAGAATTTAAATCATAGAGTAGCCGAAATAATACCTGTCGCCTAAATTCCATTCATTTTAGGATATCCCTCTCCCCCAAAAAGGTACTGGGGTGACCGATTGAGACCAGGCTGGGGCATATCCAAGTTATAAATGGTGGCATAAAGTACACATATAAGATGTTCACTTAGATCAGTTTCAATACCAGGTTTAAATTCTGGACATGGCTTATTGCAACTGGAGGAGTCTAGGGCTAACATGTGGACTCGGAAGAAAAACCCGTCCGGAGTGATGTACAGGCGGTTCATCTTGTATAGCCCGTCCCGGTCCACCAGCAGAGTCACCAGCCGGATCCCTGTGCCAAGCACGTCCACATCATGCACGATTCCGTTCACTGCTGCTTTCAAAAAACAAAGAGTTTGGAGAAATGCATAGCTTTCATTTCCTCTTTCTCTCCCCAGTGCGTTTTTAACAAATCACGAAATAGTCCACACGGGTCTAGGGCCTGCAGGACCGAGTGGGTGGGTTTCTGTAGGGTTTAATTTAGGGGTCCCGGTGCACAGCCCGGCGCTCTTGGCTCGGAAAGGCTCGCCCGGCGGCCCGAGCTCGGCAGCCCGGGACCGGGAGGAGTGCGGGCGGGGCTCACCGAACTCGCTGGCGCAGTAGGACTCGTGCTCGTCCAGGTCCGCCCTGCAGGCGCGCGCGCAGAGCTCGGCGCCAGGTTCTCCGTCCTCCCTTCCCGGGGGGCCGAGGCGCGGCGGCGGCGCGGGCGCGGGTCC